ATACTCTTAATGAAGATGGGGGGTTTAAATCATGGGAGACTATACCAGAAAAGAGCCGGCATGTAGGTGCCAATGACATTGCTTTTGCTCCAGTGGCCGAGGAAAAAGTTGAAACAAGTCCCAGGGAAAAATCCAGTGAAAATATTGAAGTAGGCGATACGTGCTCATTTATGAGAAGTGCTGCATCGTTGAAAGAATGGGCAAAGGCAAAGGCTGCTATTAGTGGATCACTCAAAAGAAAACGTGGTGAGAAGTAAGATCACAAGGTTTCCATAGGGAAGAAATATATGACGATTGAGCAACATTATCTTTCACATGGTTTTGGTGCTTATATAATCACTGCCGGTTATTGTTCTTATAGTGCGAGCAGATGAAAGTGAAAGGTAATGAAGGACATTGATTTTTCAGATACTAAGATCAAAGGAAAATGACATTTGTAATTTGGACGCCATATCCCATACTTATCTTCAGTTATATCAAATCTGGCTTATACCGATCCGATAAGAAACTAGTGATATAACTAGTCCCAATTGGTTGTTGCATCACAAATGTTTTGTAACCGTTATGATCCAACATAACCCGTCAGTTTTCCTGTCAAAACCAGTAATCCAAACATGGTTGAACTGGTCTGAGCGAATTGGTGACCCGGTGGATTACAAATTGAATTGGCGTATTGTGAATTTTGAGATTTTTAAGGTATAGGATGGACGTTTTTTAGTTTGAAATTTATAATTTATGAATGTATGATTGGATACATCTGGTTGATACGGTTAGACAAGTATATCTAATTGTGAACTTTTCTTGTTTCCTTATCCTAAATGGAAGCAGTAGAATTTGAACGGATAAAATTACGATGAAGTTACAAATAGCTCATGATAAAAAAAATAACAACGTAAAAGATTATTTGTTTTTCACGGCTTAGGAGTTGTTTGTTAATTCCTATATTTGAATTTCTAGAAATATGAAAGTAATAGTTGTTCCTATATTTGTTAAAAGGTTATCAAGGTAATTTTAAGTATGTTTTATTTTCAGAAAAGTTGCATTTTCATACTTATACGGTTTGATTTCCACGCTATAAGAGATGGATAACTCGTACTTTGATGCTAACGTAAATTATTAACGTAAATTATTAACGAAAATAAAAAATATTTTTTATTAATTTTAATATTTTAGATTGAAAAATCTAAAAACAATAATTTTTGAAAAATGTTCTAATAAAATAATTATCGAACATATTTTTTAATCTTTAAAAGCTAAAAACATAAAAATTATTTTGAAAATAGTAAATAAACAAGTAATCAATAGTTTTATCTTCAACTTTCTCTTCTAAAACCTGGATATATTTATACTGTTAACCTAAAGTTTCGTAATATAATTAACAAAATTTACATTCATCATGGAAATAAAATTTTCGTTACACTATATTATTTTTTTGAGTAACACGTTTGTTGTTATAGACTAAAATCATTTTATTTGATTGTGATGTAGTTCATGTACATTTTCACATCAGAACATAATAATCATAATAATAAGACACATTCTTCAATTTCAGTTTATAACATAAAGAGTGAATATAAATGAAATTATTACTAATTTATTTGTGCTTAAATTATTTATTTATATATTAAAAAATAATTTAAGAAACTTTTTCATATAAGGAGATTTCAGCATGGTAATAATACTTAACACTTTTCGGTTTCAATTTATATAACATAGGGAGTGAATAGAAATGAAATTATTAGTAATTTGCTTGTGCTTAAATTGTATTCTTATGCTCGTGAATCTTTGTTGTTTTGTATAGCATATGAAATGTGATTTATCGTGAAGAAAGCGATTATGGAGAATGAAGGAAGGAGCATTGTTAGAATATATATCTAAGAAATTAGCGATATAGAAGAAGTGAGGAGTTAATGAATTTGGAAAATAAGAGTCACATATGTTTATTGGAATGTAAGAAAACAAGTTTAAAGATACATAGAAGAGGGTGAATATTTGATGCGTAGAGGGAGGTGGAAGGAGTGCAAAGTTATTGTGGAAAAGAGTAAAAGAAGAAAGACAAGCATTGAGATATGTGACTGAGAGAAGCAATGACCGATGATCAAGGGCAGCGGAGCTCAGTAGCGTGGGGGATGTTGCACTTGTCCATAAGTAAATTCACTGCAACACTGACGTCAACAGTGAGGATGCCAAGGACGTCAGCTTTTATGGCAATGCAAAGGCAGCTAACAGTAGCCTCAAGTTCAAGCAGCCCCTGAATGAGGGTGCAGCACTGACCCGATGGGGGTGGCCCCACTATAACATCAAGCAAACCACCCAGCACATTGGCACACACACTCAACTGAAGAACATTTATCGGACATGTTCCGATTTCAGAAGGTGGTGCTGCCGGTGCCGGTGGCTTTGCCGGTGCCGGTGGATTTGCCGGTGCCGTTGCCGAAATCACCATTGCGAATGATAGCAGATTGAGAGCCAGGAGTAGAGCACTTCCCTTGGAACCCATTTCTCACAACCACACCAACTTACTCTCACAACTCTTTCTTACTTCTCTGTCTGTTATGTTAATTCAACACATGCAGAGCAGGGGTATTTATAGCCCAACATTTTTTTTTTTTAAATAATCGTTATTTTATTAGAGGTTATTTTGTTTAAAAAATTATGATAAATATTTACGTCAACCTATTACGGTTGTGTGCTGTATTCTGCCAGTTTCCCAAGGCAATTGTGAATATCCTAATTTTTGTAATGAAGGCATGAAGTAATATTTTATTGGCGTAATAAATTATTTAAATTTTTCAATAATTACTTTATTAAATAACTTAAAAAATAAATAAATCAAAATATATAAAGAAAGAAAATAGAAAAAAGAATAAATTTTTTAAAATTTATTAAGAATTTTTTATTAGAATAATATAAATGTTAAATTATTTAAAATAATGTCACAAAACAAATTTATATTTCACAATAAAAGAACAGCTTATAAGAGTTACTCTTAACCCACTTGAAATGATTCCAATGTCACCTACACTGCATCTGCATTTCCTTGAAAGGACACTCCATTAAATGCAGCTCCCACAAAAATAAACGCCTAATAAATACATGTATATATATATATATATATATATATATATATATATATATATATATAAACTTATTAACTAATAATTTAAAATAATAAATTATTTAATTATTATTATATATATATATATATATATATATATATATATTTTTACATATGTAATAAGTTTTATTAATTAATAATTCATATATCAAAACTTATTATTATTCTCTCTCTATATATATATATTCTGTATTAGTGTCGACCAAACGATACATAATTTTAATATTTCATTTGTATTCTTTTAAAGATTAACATCAGCTAAGTCGATACCTAATTTTTATTTTATTTTTAATTTAGGCAAGATCTCATTCGTCTTTACATACATTATTATATTGCGTTTTTATTTTTTTGTTCACAAATTGTTAATTTATTTAACTTTTATTTTTTTATAACAGAGTAACATAATTAAATTTGATTAATATTTTTATACTGGTGTAGTTAAGTTGACACAAAAATGAAACAAAACTTTTTTTTTTCATTTAGTGTCTACGTAGAGTCTATCGACTTTATTTATATTAATTTAATTTTTAATAATATTTTATTTAGTGTCTGAAAGATCCGTCGAATCTTTTTATATTGGCACGGACGTTAATTTTTAGCAGCCAATTAAAGCACTTATTGTCCGATATAATTATTTAAAATTATAATTATAATATTAAAAGTAATTATTAAGATTAAATTATTGAATAAAAACTAAGTATTGTATTAAAAATAATAAAAACAATTGTTAACAATATATTAAAAATAAAATAAAATTATATGTAATTAATACCTGTATTACTTAATTAATTATGTATATAAAACTAATTTTATTATTTTAATTTAAAATGTTTTTTTATTATCTTATATTTTTCAATCTAGAACTAACCGCATGATAAGGACAAACAAAATACTTAGAAAAGTCAGAATACAAACAATAACATAAAATTTTACCATAATTAAAATAAAATAAAAGTATATTCATAGGGACTTAAAAAATATTTAAATTAAGAAATTATGATTTTATCATAACTAATTTATATTGAAATATCTTTGGTAAGCTCTAATATAGTTCCTGCAAATATTTGAAAAGTTCATTAGAGTTAGGTATAGTCATTAATATTTACAATTAAGATTATGTAATTTCAATAATCTTTATGACTCATGACATTAAATGTTTATAATAACAAATATTCTTATTCTATTTAGTGTCGTGCTTCGCGGATTTTCCCTGTATACCTTATATTATATCTTGTAAGGGTGTAAACAATTATGTGAAAATCAATGCTACAGTTAGGTCAGTTTTTTTTTTTTTTTTTTAAAACCTAGTCTTTATTGTTTAATTATTCACAATAGTAGCCTTATATTTACTATATTTAAATTTCTGAAAATAAAATACGATCTCTTCAATCTTTTTCATTAATTATAGATAATTTCACGGTGAAAATGAAAAACAGTATTAGTTAAGATAATTAAAATAATAAATAATATTTTATATATGCTAGCATAACTAGATTACTTTCCGATATAATATTCTATTCAGTAATATAACTATTATGTTATATACATAAAATAATTATACATAGTTTACATTTTTTTAATATATGAACATAAGTTTGTACTATTTTGATTATATAGTCGTTATCTTTTGCTAATAAAATGTCAAAATACATAATAATAATAATAATAATAATAATAATAATAATAATTATTATTATTATTATTATAATTATTATTATTATAATAATAATAATATGTGTAGGTAGATTTAAAATTCTATAAACAGATTATTAAATTCTTTAATTTTTATAAAATATCTATCTCACTATAAAAAAGATTCTGATATTTTTTTCTCAGAGTTATAAAAATTCTATTATCTAGGTCATGAAGGAGGCCGAAGTAGCAAAAAGTTGAATTGTTGGATCAAATTTTGGAATAGGAAAATTACAATAAATAAATTTGGGTTGTACAATTACTTTGGACAAATTAAGATTCATTAATATTTTATTATTTTTAAAATTAATTATTAATAGATTTTTATCATATTTTTAAAATATGAGAAAATATATTATATTATTATTTTGATTTTAGTGTGAGGTATGTTTTTTATTTTAATATTATATTAATATTACTGTACAAGAAAACTTCGTAATGAAATTTTCCTCATGCATAGTAAATTTTTTCTTATATATGCATACTGAAGCGGGGGAGGAGGAGTGTCGCCGCCTCCAAAAAACGAAGGGCGATCGGAGCGACGCGATGATTTCGGCCCTCTTGCTTTTCACGTTTTTTTATGGGTGGTTACAACGCCTTTAGGTTGTCCGATAACCGGGCTGAACCTAGAGGCGAGGTTTTCGAAAAGCGCTCTTGGATTGTCCGATAACCGGGCTAATCCAAGAGCTAGTTTTTGAAAGGTTTTGTGGAGTCGCCACCGATGTTTTTACCGGAAACATCGGAAAAGGAATTTAAAAGGCGTTGGTTCTCGAAAACCAACTTTGGTCATTAGAACCAGAGTTGGGTAAGGGAGTTAGTTACGTGTAAAGGAAGTATTAGTTCCTTTACGACGCCCCTTTCGGGTTCCCTATGACAGGCCAGCTATCTAAAAAATATTTAAACCGTTGAAAATCACGCTTTTACCCTTTTATTATGCAGAATTTAAATTTATGACTACATGGCCCTAATGTCTATTACATAATTTAAATGAAGCGATAAAAGAGGCAGAGAGAGATAGAAAACCTTCGAAGTGAGCTTTCTATTAATTCTTTTTAAAAAAGAGGGTGCTTTGTGACAGCCCTTCACTCTACAGCGCCGGAATACCTCTCGAAACGCTTACAAACACTCTTAGAAACGCTCAGAAACTCCGGAAATGCTTCGGAGGGATTCTAGAGAGAGAAAATTTAGTGTTTTCTAGAGAGAAGGAGGAGAAAACTGTGTGGAATGAGGGAATGGAGGCCCCTTTTTATAGTTTTTCGCGCCTGACAGGTCGAGACCGCCGTCTCGTCTGATAGGGTCGAGACCGCCATCTCGCCAAACGAGACCGCCGTCTCGCCCTTCGCAGGTGGCGAGACTACCGTTTGGGAAAGCGAGACCGCCGTCTCGCCATTCGCAGGCGGCGAGACCGCCGTCTCACCAAACGAGACGACGGTCTCGCCACTTGCATGAGGCGAGACGGCGGTCTCGTCCCAAAAAAGGCGAGAAACCTTATTTTTTGTCCAAAAAACCTTCCTATCCTAGTATGGGGGCCTAATAGTCTCTCCTAGTGGCTTTTTAGGCTTCATACATCTTCGAAAAGGAAGCCTTCTGACTTTATTTGGAGGCCGGACAAGATTTGGGGTCTATAGCTGTCCCCCCTTTACCTGACTAGTCGACTGTTGGCCTGTTGTGCCAGACAGATGGACAAGAAGGTAAAGGAGTTGACCCTCTAGCCCGTTTACCCTTCGGACGTCCCGTCTTGCGGCGGTTGGTCTTCTGGGGGAAAATTTGTGTTGTGCGCCTCCAGGATACTACTTCTGACGTAGCCGATCCCTTTGGTTGACACGTGGTAGAACCTCAGGATGCTCCTTCTGACGGTAGCCGACCCTTCGGTTGATGGGTATGAACCCCCCATCAGGCTGGTACAGTCCATTGCGTAGGACTGGTGGTAGTGGCGGCTTACTGCTCGGGTGGCTCATGCGCCGGTTCCTTGGGGAGTGATTTCTGTGTTGGTAGATGTGTTTGGACCCTTCTGGAATGGTCATCCGGGTTGTGCTGGGGATTTTGTTGGTGCTCATCCAGCTTTGTTGGTTGCTGGGGATTCTTTGCTTTTGATCTTTTGTGGTGATCATCCGACTCTTGTTGGCTGGTCGGGTAAGTCTTGTTTGGCTCTCGTTTGGTCGTCGAAGAAACTTTTTGGCACAAGGTCGGTGAAGTCTTACTGGGATACCTTTGTTTCTTATGAATGCGAGCGTGAATGCTTTTTGGTCTTTTATTTGTCGTAAAGTATTTTGTTTGTTTTGCTTTTGGCAAAGTCATTTTTGTGCAACTATTTGTGTGTGGATGCTTCTTATGCAATTTGTTTTAGTCGTGGGCATCTAGAAAGTACTGGTACTTTCTTTTTCCGTTTTCCCGTGATTATTTATTGTTTTGTTTTGGCCCTATCTTTTGCCTAGACCGCCCTTTGCGGGTTTTCAATCTAGCGGGCTTGCCTTAATTTTTGCCTGGGTTATTCCAGCGGGCTTTTGCTTTTTCATGAAGGCCTTATCTTTTGTCTAGACCGCCCTTTGCGAGTTTTCGATCTAGCAAGCCACCCTATTTTTGCCTGAGAATGTCCCAGCCGGCTCTTTGCTTTTTCTTTCCTTATGCTTTCTTGTATTGCTTGTTTTATGCATGCTCATGTTTCGTTAATACAGAGGCATTTTCGCAAG